GTTATCCATCGATCATTTCCTCACAGAAACTTTTCCCGCGTGAAACGATTCAACCACATGACAGCATACACTCTTTATAAATCATTCCCGTACTTACAGAAAATCATTACTTTATATTAAAGAATAGCAAGGAATCATTTGTCGACGATTCATCGACAGCAGAATCAATAGAACGATCAAAACAACGTAACGATGTAAGAAGACGTCGGACGAAGCACTTAAACAGTAACACCTGAACAAACACTCGATTTTTGTTTCAGAATACTCGTGTGCATTTCTTTTGAATATCTGTCCCTCGTGTATTTAATCTGGAAATTGATTTCACGTTTCGTGACGAGAAAAGTCACCAGGCTCCAACGAAAGGATTGATTTCTCGCGGCCGTGGAGTTAACCGTGGTCGAGAGTCGACATTTTCGAGAGTCGTGGAAGAACGCACCACTTCACGTGGCCGCGAACGCCGCGCATGTGAAGGGGTTGTCCCGTTCAACCCCCCGATGCGACACCCTCTGTGTTCCTGTCACGTGTACGTCGTCTAACGCCGGCTACCCCCTCCGCAGGTTGCCGCAAAGGTGCATCCACCTTTTCTATTCCAATCACCAGAATTGATGCACCCTGGTTCAACCCTTTCATGATGTGATATGATGATCAATGTAATTTTATCTCTTGCTCTACAAATTATGATGAAATTAAAACTTGAATTCTCGATGAATGAAATGAAATTTAATATAACTGAAACTAGAGATAAGGACAGAGATTCTTCTTTACTATAGAATTTCACATTCGATACTTCTATTAATGCACAATTTTATTTCAAACAACGTGGTAATTTTATTTTAAAATCAAGCATAAGCAATGAGGAAACTAGAATTTAATTAATAAGTTATGCAGAATGTATGCAAATTTACACCCTGCAATAAAAGGGTAAATCGCATAATGTAATGATTGCTAGTCTCTAACTTTCTGTGCAGTCCTTGAAACGTAGCTTGGTTAAATAAATAGCATCATTTGCATTCTTTACCTCTTTAATTATACATAATTCCTGCTGTTTAATACTAAAGCGCGCAATTCCTTTCTACTCAATGATATTTTATTCCATATTTTTAACATATTTTTCCGCTAATCATACCTGACCATCTTGTATGAATAATGTTAGGTAATTGAAATAATCTCATCATAAAAGAAAATAGCTGAATGCTAATCATACAATATTTTACAAATCGCCTTAAATGCAAATTATTTATTATACATATTCGTGTTTCTTACCGAACATTTTTATAACAAACACTTCATTTGCATTTGACTGTTCAAGGGAAGAAATTGCGAATTATTGATGTAATACCGAAAGGCAGCAGTGTTGTCGATGAGTCAGGGTTAAAGAAGCCGGGGTATTAGTCGCTACGCAGCCCCTAATAAGGAGTGGGTTTCCTTTAACGCGGGGGTTGCGTGATTTGTTCGCCACGGTGCGGGGAAACGAATTTTAACGATAGACATCTCCGAGTCTTACGTTCGATTTCTTCTGCTAATCATTGGCCCCGCTAGACGAGATAAGCTCGCCGTGATTAAAAGTGTCGGGCTGACCTCATGAATAACACCGATGCGAGCCACGATACCGCTTAATTATTGAGTCTGACGGTTTTGATATCACAATGTATCTCTGCTTAAACTTTCTTAAGCTTAAGGAAGAAGAATTTTCGTCAACTTTGGATTAAAAGCAGAATTCCAAAAACGCGTTTCTCCTATTAGGTGGGTAGAATTTATGTTAAGGATGTATTAGCTATACAGTCAATCCCAAAAGTTTATGCACTTTAGAAACGCATTTTTTAAAAAGAAATCATTCCAAAGGGAATGACCAGATGACCAATCCTAGGAGATGTGTACTTAAAGTCAGTGGTCAATTGGTCATTCCCTTTGGAATGACCCAAAAAATCCTGCCCGATTATCGATAAATGCGGAAGTAAACGAATATGCAAATCAGGAGCCGAGCCTTCTAAGAATCGGCCAATCATTTTGCGCAGACGTCATTTTGCCCAAACCGTCGATCGCCGAGAGGGTATAAATACAGAGCCCCGACGCTCCTCGAGTCACTCGATCGGCATTAAGGCCGGTCGAGACACCCCTTTTCCCATCCCATCCCAGTATGCGTGTGCGGTGTGCGGTATGAGTATGAGTGTGTGGGTACCGGTACTAGTGTGCAGTATGCCTTCCAAAATTCCACCCTATAACGGAGCGAATTTAACTTCATCCCTCTCTCTCTCTCTCTCTCTCTCTC